CAAACTTTTTGCTCTATTATTTGACATCATCAAAACTAATCATCATCTAACAAATTCCAAAATAGCTGACTCATTTTTGAGAGAAGTAAACATATCTTTTGCTGCTTCCCAAACCTCCTGAGCTGTTTGGAAGAAGAAAAAATGGCAACTAACTTTTGTGGTCATTGGATTGATTAGCCATGCTTGAACCATGGAGTTTTCAGCTTCCCATGTTGTGAATTTCAGATCTGTTACTTTTGGTTTCTTTATGAAACCCATGAGATAGCTAAACTTGCCCTTTCCCATTACAAACAAATGTACATTAGTAGCCCATTGGATGTAGTTTTGTCCATTAAGTCTATGTACAGTAATGGACACAGGGCTGGCATCTACTGTAGGTTGAGTTCTTGAAGTTACCGACATTACTGCTGCTAGCCCTATGGGATTAGTCATTGATTACTGCAGATCATTGGCATCTAGTATTAAGTTAAAAGCTATCATGGCTCTGATACCATAAAGGTTTGAATGATAATTCTCAGTTGTATTTCATCATAATGTTACACGGAATAATTAGGGAAAAACTACATACATTGAAAAGTTAGAGGGGGAAATATCTGGGAGATATCCTATTAAAAATAGTAGGAGAATCAAATTCAAAAATTAAAATATACTAAATCTCTAATTAAACCCAGATTATGGCAGAAGAGATAACTAGGTTAACTAGGTGTAAACCTAGGATTAAGCCTAGGGTTTTGTGCCCAAAACCCATTAGAGTTCGGTGCCAGTGATATCTTTTTTATATTGCTGAACATACAAGAAAGGGAAAAAGATAGAAAAATACCCTCAAATATATAAAAACCTAGATCAGTGCATGTGAAAAGCAAAACCCCATATCAAAACTGGGATACTAATTTAGGAAATAAAAATATTAGCAAAAGACAACCTTGCCCTGATAAATGCACAAAAGGGAAGAGAATGCAGAAGGAAGATAGTGGCAGAGAGCTTGTAGGAAGCCATAGGAGGGGAGAAAATTCATGGGAAGCTGCTAAAGAAATATAACGTAATTTTTATTTTAAAGCCATTAATATTGTTTAAAGTTCGGCATCTTCTTCCTTCTCCCTTGATGTTGCTTATTTCAGTAGGCTGTTGATTGAGCCCAAGATATTAGTTTCTTTTCATATCATTATCCATGATTTTATTATACTTTCTGGTCCTTTTTAATGAAAATTGTGCTTAACTGAGATTTGTAGTTCTTACTTTAAGTTAGTGTCATTTTGATGATTAAATTGTCATAATTGATTGTTAATTGGATTCAATTGACTTCTAGGACAATTGGTACTTCAATTTGTTACTTTTTTTTTATTGTAGGACACTAAAGATTTGGGCCAGAATTGAAGAACTCAAGGCAAAAGAAGCAGAAAGGACCATCTGCCTAAGTTCGCCGCAGCACACATCTCACTTCACCGCGGCGAAAACTCATCCGTGAAGAAAGGTCTCTCTGCCATGTTTCGTCGCGGCGAACCTATTATTCGCCGCGGCGAACCTCTCGAAGCAGCAAATCTCAGACCCGACCATTTCGGGAAATTTTGACCTACCCATCCCCAGAAACCGACCCATGCACGTAAGTTTCGGGTTAGAAACCCTATTTTGGGTATGATGAGGGGAGATGACAAGCATTCAGCCTCCACCTTCGTATCTTTCATCCTTTTCTCTCATTTCCACCTCAGAAACCCTAATCCCATTTCCATTTCTTCCATCTGCTGCTGCCATGGCTGAAGAACAATACCTAGTTGGAGTTGATTCAAGAGTTATGACCGGCTAAGCTTCTCAACTCTTGAATATGGTGGAAGAAGCATGAGTTCCAAGAGCTTCAAAAGGGCAGTTAGCTTCATCTATAAGTTCTAGTTCTTTATTTATGAATTTCTAAGTCTTAGGATTTGTAAATTTGGGCTGAACTATTTTGATTATGGTTGTAATCAATTCTGGATGATCATTTTGTGTATTGGATTAGTTAATGTTGAATTTGAGCTTCAATATATGTGGTTACATATATGTTTCTATGCAACTCTTTTGATACTCTCTGTCTTGCATGGTAATGTGTGATTGTTGAGTTGATCTGGGCTTGCATTTAACCAAGTGCATTAATTAATCTTAATATACACACCAAGTAAGCTTAATAGGATCTTATGAAATGGGTGACATTGATTAAGATCCTAGACTTAAAGAGTTCTTTAAGGTTTTCATTTAGAAAACTTGGTGATTTCTACTCCCAAAATTATTTTGAACTATGATTGCTTCAAAGCTGTATTCAAGAGATTACATATCATTAACTTCACTTCATTACTTCTATCTTGGAAAAATCCAAAAACATAGTAACTTAGATTTGAATTAATTGCATTTAGTTTTGGCATTTCATTAATTGTTTAAAACACCAAAAAACCCCCTTTTTCATTACTCTGCATAGCATTAGTCTAATTTAGATAGCTAACTAAGGCTCCCAAAAGAGAACGACCCGAGTTTGCATTATTGCATAGCTTGGATAAATTTTTGAGCGAGAACCTCTAAGCGAACGATAATTAAGGCTCTCTTTCAGCTATGTATGTGGGTGAATAGGTTTTAGGTGGGAAGAGAGGCAAAGTTGTCACATGTTGGTAATGGGAGGAACTTCATTCATAGGTGTTGGCTTTTCATTTTTTGGGTCTTTATTGCCAGAAAGTGTTGAATATATTAGTCAGCTAGTATCCAATGTAAGGTTAGACTGTTTAGTGTTTGAGCATGGCAGAAGGCATTAGCATGGATAGCAAACATGAGCATGAGTAGTGAGGAGACAATAAAGTATGTAGTTAATATATAAGGCAGAGTTGTCAAAAACTAATATGTTGTTGGTAAGGGAAGAAGTGGGATTCTGTTATGGATAGTTAGGAAAGTGATGATTGTTTACTATTTATTGTGTTTTTTGTATATTTGAGCATGGTAGAAGGCATTAGCTTGGGTGGCTCAATGTCTTCTAAGGAAGTTTCTTGTTATTTTCATGTTGGAGGAATATTTGTAGTTAATGAAGAAGGTGAAGTTCAATATAGTAGGGCTAATGTAAGGCTAAGGAGCATAAAAGAAGGCATTAAACTTAAAGATTTGAGGGGAACGATATCATTATGATTTGGAATTGATGGTGATAGTTTGAGATAAAATATAGAGTAAGATTTGATGAGAAGACACTAATAGATTTAGTTGATGATAGTGAGATTGTGAACCTTTTTTAGTATAATGAGAGGCATGGTCATTTATAGTAATATGTAAAGAGAAAGAAAGTGGTGCTAATATAATTAAAGATCCAGAAATGCAAGTAAGATTTTATTGGCCATAGAAGTTGTCATTTGTTATACTATTGTTGTTTTATTTGTTATTGAAGTTGTCATTATGTATGCAGAGTTGACAAATTGTTAGGCTTCTAATATTATTGGCCATAGAACTAGTAAGGTATGAAAATAAGGTTGGGGCCTTAATGTATGAAGTTGGATGGAGTTCTAGCAACATAACATGTGGAGTACAATATGCACCAACACCATATCCTGAGATGAATTGTTCAAAATAGAGGGAATTGATTTCAAGACACCTGCAAAATTTTGCACATGCAAAGGAGTTTAAAAAAATAGTGCACAAATATAGCATAGCACATAATTTTGAGTTCAAGTATATGAAGAATACTAAGGACAAGATGTTAGTGAGATGCAAGGTTGAAGGTTGCCCATGGAAGATATATGCAAATGTAGTGGGGAAGAAGACTCATTTCCTACGTGTGACAACATTTGTGAATGAACATATGTATAGTATGCAAGATAATCTCTAAGTCACCTATGGTGGAAGAGCTTGTTTAACATCATCAATTATAATTGATGAGATAAGGAATCACATTAACAAACAGCCTACTGAAATAATGGCAACGTTAAAAAGAAACTATGGGGTGAATCTAACATACAAACAAGCATATAGAGCTAAGGAAAAAGCATGGGAGAAATACAAGATAGACCTGAGTAATCTTACATGTTAGTACCTTAGATTTGTCAAAGGCCAAAGGAAAGTAATGATAAAACTGTGGATGAATGGGTGGCTATTGGGAATAACATATTTAAGCGACTTTTCATCACTTATGGGTGCTATATAAAGGGTTTCTTCCTAATGAGCTCTAGTTTGACTAACTCTGTTATATCATAAAATCAATCCCTCTAAATATAAACACATGTCTATATTAAATAACAAATCTATATAATAATATCATTGCTAAGGTAATTTAATTCAGTCCTTACACATGCATTGGAGAAATCCCTTTTTTCTACCTTTCCTCTTGTTAATAGCATTGCACATAAAAATTCATTATCTTCAGGTGAAGGACATAACAGAACCAATGGTCAGCCATAGGAGGAGGCCCAAATATCAAATCACAATATGCTATGTTGTAACCAACATGCCCAGGTAATATTTGCTTCTTGTTCTCAAAAGCTTTCCAACTAATTGGATGTGATACCATTTTCATTTGCAAAATAATCATGTGTTAAATAAAAGTCAATAACCATATTGTAATGAAGTAAGAAGTAAGCATCAAACAAGTGTCTTCTTACATCTCCTTCCTCCTTCATATTGCCTATCAAAGTCTTACATACAAGAGATATCAGTTGAGTGTTTATTTTTTGGATTCCACCCAACAAAAGTAGTTGTTCTTGAGTGAGTATTTCATCATGCATATCAACTATTGGCTTGAAAACAAAAAAAAAATCAATGAAATTGACTACACAATGTAAAATCTTGTTGTCAATTGTTATATGTCACAGATGAAAACATAATAAACAGTTGCAAATTTATAATTACTTTCTAGCACTATGATCACATGGAGGCATCCTAGATATGATTTTTTTAAAAAAAATTTCCTTGTCATCCAAAGGCTTCTTTCTCTTATGCATTTGCTTTATCTAGATTCATAGAGATCTAACTGTTGGTTTAAGCACCCTTTTTTATCTTCAGAGTTCTTATCCCTTCTCTATTTCTTCCCCACCCACATCACATTTTCCTTGTCCTTTATTGGCAAACTCATCATCATCACCTTCTTCTCCTCCTCCTTCTTTATTGGTAGATTTATCATTATCACCTTCTTCTCCTTCTCCTTCTTCTTGTACAGATTTATCATCTTTTCCTTCTTCTATGGGAGACTCATCATTATTCCCATCTTCATTCTCCTCAAAATCTTCATCAATGTGAAAATTGTGATCATCCCTTTCATCTCCTTCTTCTTCCACCTCAATTAGCTCCTTAATTCCCTCTTGGACACTCCTTTTTTATGCCTTTTTTGTTAGCTGAACCTTCATCAACTCTTCTGTAATTATAGTGAGCAGCCTTTTATTGCTCTCATCAATAATAGTCACCAACTGCTAATAAAGGTCATTCAGCTTATCAAGAAATACCATTGAAATCAAAATAATCCACATGCTAAACAACTAAAAACACTATACAAAATAACACATGCCAGGTCTAGATAAGGAACTCCTATTCTATCCTCTTGGCCCACCTTCACATCTCTTTGTCTCCCTCGAAACAGTAACCCTAAGTTACTCTATCTCTCTATCTTAATAACTTCTTTTACTTTCTTCTCAATCCAAAACTCAACAGCATTTACAGCATCATGCACAACGTTTGTTTTTTCAATAGGAAGTGTCCATAAAAATATATCTGCAACACAAAATAAATAAAATTATAAAATTATCAATTAAATAAAAAATTGACAATTTAAATTACAATACATAGTAATAACAAGTACACACATCTGCTCACATTAGAGCTCCCATCACTCCTGAATGCTTTAACATAATCCTTCAACTCTTTCCATAAGTCCTTCGTAATAAATATAGCCTAATCATAACATTGAAAGCCATTCATAGTACATGCTATCACCTTGAGTAACTAGTCACTTACTTTTTCTCTTGAATTTGGACATAGAAAGGTTCCTAAGGTGTACAATATAAACGAAAACTCAAATTTATCATCATGCTATCCAGATTTTATGTCATTTAATATCCTCATAAATGACACTTTATAATAGCCCCTCTTCTATTGTTGATATGTAGGATCATTCTTAGCTACATCAACCCTCACTTCTTCCCCAGTGTCAAGTATGCCAAGTAATATTTTAACATCTTCTTGCTTTAATTCCTTTGTACTGCCTCTAATTATAAATTCGTGTGTTGGTGGATCATATGAACAAAGAAAAGCCACTAGTAGGTTGCATGGGAGTCTCTCACATGCTACATGCAGCAACTTTGAGAATCCTATATTTTCTACCTTGTCCCTTAAGCTTGCATTGTCATTTACAAACTCCACCAACGACCTAAATTGGGGCAGAGAGCAACGGGTTTGGAATGGTTCTTCCTCATTTTTTCCCCTCAAGCCTTGTCATTGTACCGCTTTCTTTCCTCCTCACACAACTCTTTCCATGCCTTTGACACTTCCTGAGTCTGTTTCTCAAAATGCTTTGACCTCTTCCCCCTTAATTTCTCATAAAACTCTTCCTAAACAACATAAATCCATTCTATACTGATTTAGGTGATTCTCCTTCCAAGACCATCTTCATTCTTCTACAATAAATAATCATTCATGCTCAAATGTTGTCATTTACTATTCAGTCATAGTCAATCGCTACACGTATGTGATAAACTCCAATAATAGATATTGTCACCATCAAACACTGATTAGCCAAAAATAATAATGGAAAAAGTATTGACAAAATAAATCGTAACCTAAGCTCAGTGAGTATAGTGAGGATTAATCTTTCATTAATAATGAAATCATCCACAAAACCATCTTGAATCAACTTTCTCCCCATACTCTTCCTAGCTACTTTGTCAAGTCTACAATTTTTCTAGAAATGAAACCTCACTCACAGGAAGAACATTTCAGCATCTCCCAATCCATGTCATATTTTTCCCACAAACAATGTATAATATCCAATACATATAACTTAAAGCCAAAATCTCAAAAAAAAGTGCTTATAATAAAAAAAATCCAACCATTACTTAGCAAACCACACATCGATATACAATTCAAGGCAATAACTTTATTACTCTCCTAAATCTCTAATCTTCACTCTTAATTTCTGATCTAATTGGTTACCCCATGAGAACCACCATGCAGATAAAACAAATAATCAACTTACCAGACCCAAGCAATAGCGATGATGTTCTCCTCACGGTGACGATGCTTCTTTAACAGCGAATCCTCCACTCACAGTAACAATGTTCCTCTCAAGGCAACACCGCTTCCTCTCACCACAACAATGGGCGACAGCGCTACCTCACAAAGATTGCAACTCGTGATTGTGGCAAAGCGATAAGGGAAAGATAAGTTTGACAATGGCACAATGCGAATAACCTCCCTCGCGTTGCGTCTTTTTTTTTAAAATTATTCTTAGGGGCAAACTTGTCTTTTGCTAAGATTTTTATTTCCTAAATTAGTACCCCAATTCTAATATGGGGTTTTTTTTTTCACATGCACTGATCTGGGTTTTTATATATTTGAGGGTATTTTTCCGTCTTTTTCCCTACAAGAAAAATAAAAACAAAAAATTACTTTTGAAATATGTTTGTTTTATTTATAATATAGGTTAAGGTGCATTCAACACCCTGAAATATTTTCTTAGTGCATTCAATACCTAAATTACTTTTTAGGTGTGTCCAAACCTTGAAGTATTTTTTTTTTGTCTTGGTATTAGATATATCAAAAAATATTTTAAGGTGCTGGATATATATAAAAAAAATTAGGGTACTATATGCATAAAAAAATATTTCAAGATGCTTGACGCACTTGAAAAAAATACTTCAAGGTGCTAAATTCATCACAAAATATTTTAGAGTGCTGGATATACTCGAAAAAATATTTGGTATGTTGCATGCACCTTAACAATTAAAATATTTGAATGAACTTGTCATAAGGCATAATTATTCAATATTAGAAAATTAGATATCTAAAATTACAAATAAGGAAAATTAATTAATATTCATTTATATTATTACGATTTTATAGTTTTATTTTGAAGTTAGAACCCTAAAAAATAATATTATAATCTTAATTAAGATAAAAATAATGATTATTTGAAACTAGCTTTATTTATTAATTGTTTTATTTTTTGTTGTAAATTTAAAATTTTAACAAATAATTACAGATAATAGCAGTATTCAATTTTTAAATAAAAAATTACAAACATTGTTAAAAACAAAATTATAGAGAAATGTTACAAATTTGTAGTATATTTGCAGTTAAATAAATTCTGTTTAGTGGCAAAAAACATTCTGTTTCATTATTTACCAAAAATTCTGTTTCATTAATGTATTAAATAGGAAAAAATATATATATACACTCCTTTAGTCTTATTTATAGGACATAGAGAAGACATTTTTTAGTTCTATTTATAAGGCACTGAGTGATTTTTTGCATCGATATACAATTTTACCCATAATTAATTATTCTGTTGACTTTGTTTACATGAATTATAATGTACTACCTCTGGTCCTAAATATAAGAGCTAGTTGACTAATTTGAGTAGAATAAAAAAATAAGCTGAGTTAGTTATTTGTAATAAATATGTATTGTTTTTCTTAAAATATCCTTGCTAATCAAATATATTAGTTAGAATTATCATTATTAGTAGAACTATCTTAGAAAAATGGGTAAATATAAGAGATAATATAGATTTAGGTCTTATATTTGGAACCAAAATAAAAGTTAAACGAGATTTTATATTAAGGATCGGAGGTAGTATATTAAATAAAGATAAAGTAAAAATGTTGTTGAATTTTAAATAAGAGTTAATGAAAACACGTTAGAAATGATTTATAAATAAGAGTAAGAGATATCCGGATAAAGTATATACGTATAGTACAACCTCCGAAATATTGAAGGGAAAATTACTGTAGAGTCCCACAGAAAACATTTTACTACTAAAAAGTCCTATGAAATAGCAAAACAACTTTGAAGTCCCTAGGGACCTAAGTGTGAATAATTTGAAATGATCAATTACGAATTTGCCCTTAATGACTAAAGAAAAAAAATTCACCCATCTGTTTGAATCCCACCCTTCTCCTTCAGCCCTCATCTCCTACTCTGTCGGCCTTGATCTCCTACTCCATCGGCATGCTGTGACATGACCTCTCCACTGTTCTCACCAAGAGTCATGATCGTCTTGGTCTACTCATGACAATCAAGGTCTTCCTCAAGAAGTTGTTCTCAAAGCCATTTCAAGTTTTTTATTTTATTGTTTTTACTTGCAATTATTTAATTTGTTAGATAGCAATTGATGCTCTATTTTTGATGAAAATAGATGAAAATGACAGGTTTTTACTGTCATATCCCCTGTAATGTGATAGTTAAATGTCTTGTTAATGGGTACATCAAAGGTTGTTAATGTAATTGTATGACTTGTCATTAACAAGTGATTGTGACAGGTTGATATGAAGGATGACAATTTCAAGTGGGAAGCATTTATTTTGTTACCTCCATATAGGGGAACAATTTATTAATAGTGTAAAAGGTGAAATGCAATATGTTAGAAGTGGTGTAGAACAAGAATGATAAAGGGTTGGGAGAAGTTAACAGAAAAAGAGAAAGAATAATATGGTGAAAGGGCTAAAGAAATTAAAGTCCCACCAAAAAGGAAGAATCATATTGTTCCCTTCTACACATGGTGTTTTATGAAAGTTTGCAAGCACTTAAAGAAAAGTGAAGATAAGATGGAAAGGCTAAAAAGAATTAGTTTTGATAAATTGTCAATTAATGCTTCCTGATTACTTGTTATTCACTATTGTTAAGGTTGTTAATGCTTGCTAATTACTTGTCATTCACTACTGTTAAGGTTGTTAATACTTGCCGATTATTTGTCATTCACTACTGTGAAAATTTTTAATGCGCCTACTGATTACTTGACATTCACTATTGTTAAGGTTGTTAATGCCTGCTGATTACTTGTCATTTACTACTGTCAAACTTGTTGCTCTTTTTTGTTTCTTTTTTACAGAGAGATTGTTTCTACCAAGTTTTTCGTAGAGTGAAGCCAGCACAGTCACATCAAGGAACCATTTAAAACCATAAACTAACCTTGATTCTCACTTGTATGCTTAAAGTTGATGCCTTTCTCCTTGGTTTCCCTTTGAAACTCTTCCTTTTCCTCTCTAGCTCTCTCTTGGCTGAAACATATTTAGAAAAATGGGGGGGGAGGAGCTCATTAAGTGCACAAAATATCCCAACCACCAACATTTAATGCTATGCCATGTGTCAAATGCATACTTAACCTTAATCCTCTCTCTTAATTAACTTAATGCCAAATGAAATTAATTTCAAAAGTCAAGATCCTCTCCATTGGTGGCTTGACACTTGGAAACTTTAAATCCTCTACATCGGTGGTCTGACACATGGCTAAATGTGAACCATTTGAATTGTAAGACTCTAGTCTTGCTTTATCAGTACACTTTGACTCCGGGATTAATTTCTTTTCTATAATTACAATATTCTGGCCTCTGTAATTATTTTTTGTTAAATCCATGATTTATTCTCCTTATTTTTATATTCCCAAATTGTCCTCTTTGTCTCAAATTTAATTTCTCAATAATTAAATAAAAAGGAAAACTAATTTTCTTCTCTTTAGTGATTTTTTTTCATTTTTCAAAGGAACTGGAAAAGATCTTGGATACTTGAAGGTATTCTTTTCATTCCATAATCTCTTATAATTTCTTGGGATATCATAGGGATTTTCTTGGGATTTTATTCTCCTTCCCAATATTTATTTGGAATTTTCCAAATAAAAGACCTTAAACTAGCTTAAATTGCCCTTAAATTCCTTTGTAATTTCTCTAAGGGTAATTTGGTCATAATACCAATTTTATAATCCCATATAATTCTCAAGGAACATTGTCCTTATTTTTTCTTAATTTTCTGAGGCTTGGAAATATTTTTCCATAATTATTCTTGACCAATTTTCCTTAATTAGTCAAACTTTTCATAATTGGCTTGGAAAACTATAATAATTATTTTCCTCCAAAGTTCTTCTATTTCTTCTTTTCATTTTTGGCCCTTAATTATTTAGGAACGTCCCTATTCCTAAATGCCATATTATTGGATGTTCCCTTGAGTTGTATGGCTGAAATTTCTGGTTTTCTTCCTTCTTTGGTGCTGGTTGAAATGTATAATAAGTAAGGGAGGAAGTTTTATTGTTCAATCTTGCTAGAACACTTCAAAGCATGATAGATCCTTGTGGTTACAAGTGGTTGTAGGTTGATTTTGGAGTGTTTTCTTTGTTATGTTGCATGAGGATTATTTCGGCCAAAGCAAGAATTAGACCCTAGGATGTGTTTTTCAAAGTTTTGAGGCTTTCATTGTGTTCAAAATGAAAAATGTTATAGGGTAAACCTAAAGAACAAGTGTTGGAAGCCATAAAATCAAAGTTCTAATTTTTAGATAATGAACCCTTTTGGTTTAGCGAAGATGAAACTGGAAGAAGGGATTTTATTTTGTTAAATCCAAATAGATAATTGGAATCTACATGAAAAATCATGTAGGAATGAGTTAATAGGGAATTTTTAGGGTTTATGGAAACTAACTCTAAAATTTAAAGAACAAAGGTGGAAGCTTTAAGGGACAAAGGTTGTCCTTGAGTTATGTTGTTGATTTTTATGTTGAATGGTTGATGATTCTTGCTGCCCTTTTTGTGGATTGCAATGATAGGGTTTGGCATTTGTTGAAGCAAGAAAGCAGAACAAGAAAATCAAAGAGCATTGGATCAAGGTAGTAAGATTTGATTGACCTTAATGTTGATTGTTGCATTGATTGCTATGCAATTTCATGGGCTATTATGTGGTTGAACTAAATGATGATGATTGTGTAGATATACTCCTTGATTTATGAGCCTTTGCTATTGCATGTTAGAGTGCTACATGTATGAGGTAAAATAGTTCCCTATTAATAGCAAAAGGTTGGAATGCTTGTAATTGATGTATATTAATGTTTTGGTTGATTGATCTTAGTACTGGGATTTCATTGAAATCTCATCCCCCATATGTAACTTAACATTTTAGGGGTTGAATCATCAAAAGGGAGGCTGCAAATCTAAGGATAAATATAGTGATGAACTATGAGGAAATATTTATATATTTGGTTATGTATAAGTATCTATGGTTGGTGCTGTAATCCCTAAGCAAGACGCCAAATTAGAGCCACGTTTTATTAAGTTACCGAACGAATTTCTGCATAAAATTTGATATGCTTAAATTCGATATCATGAGCTTCAAATCTATAGGTAGTACATTAAAAATGGCCAACTACACGATTTTTACTGATTTTTCAAAGTTAAGGTTTAGAATCTGGAAAAAGGATTTTTGCCAAATAGACAGAGGTGACTTTCACAAAAACCTGACACTTTTTCAAATGGAATTGGTTCATAAGATTATTTTTCCTTGAAATATCATTCAAAGATCTTTTTATATAATTTTTAACCACTCTATTTTGATTTTTCTAGGTTAAGTTATGAATTTTTAAAGTTGAGCCAGAAAACTGGATTTTTACCTGATCAACAGTAAAAATCCAAAAATCAGCGTTTTTTATGGATTTTTGAGCCCAAGACCATCCAAGGTGGTCTAAAATGGTTTTAATTAAACTCTAAGTGGATCCGATAGTAAGATGTGATATTTTTGGTATCAGAGCGGAGGTTCTGGCATAGGATAGAACGCTCTGCTTAATTAATGTGTTAGTTAAAAGGAAAATTGACATATTGTTGTAGGAGTTGTGATGGAAAACACGATGGATTGGGATGCTAGATCTGAGAAGTCGGTTAATGATGGAGATACTAACATAATTGATCTCTCAAAAGAGGATCTGGTGGGATAGACTATGGGGACTGCTAGCCCAGGATACTCAACAAAAGAGTCCAACAATTATTCAGAGCATGGGGCCAACCTTTTAGGGGTTACTGTTGAGGATTTAATGCACTTTCCTGTACCTAGTGACCCGGTGGATCCCACAAATGATTTGTATCAGGAACCAGTGGACCCTAGTTTTGACATTCAGTCTCGCAGACAGCTTGTTACCCCAAGTGTACACCCAAGCAACATCCCCAAACCTAGTACCAAGCTAGGGATACTCCTGACACCTGCAGCACCTATCCCTGTTCCGTCGGAGCCTAAGATCTGCAGTCAGGATCAACTGAGAGAGAAGTTGGAATTTTTTGGTCGACATATCAGGAAAGATGAGGATTAGCAAGACCCAAACATTTATCTAAAATACCTTCAAGGAGTAAAGGTGTTATATCAGACTCATGGACTAGGTAACCTTTATGTAGACACCAAGGACTGGATCTATACGATAATGGACATGCTTCCATATTTACCCTTCTGGGTATATGAGTTTTGTTACCTGAATCAGATAGTGGATTTAGGTATGGAGGATTACATCCAGCACCTTGTAAACTTTGTTAAGATTCACTGTGTTTAGATAGTCAAATCCTCGTAAAACTAATGTAGGACTTGTTTTGTTACAGCTAATCATAGTAGGTTAGTTTGGCATGCTTAATTGCTATGTATGTTCCTAAGATGGCTATGTATGTTGAACTATATCGCTGTGACTGATGATTGATGCTTGAATGCTATTTTGTGAATGCATATGTGGTTAAATGAAATCCAAGCATGATGTTTATTTCTTGTTCCTCGGATATACTATCTGTTTAGTTAGCGTATTGGTCAGAACCTGATGAAACATTTTGCTGGAGAGACCTTCAGGACACAACGTAAGGGTCCATCCCGATCCAATATGATTAATTTGGAAAGCTTAGAACCATAATAAAAGGCTATGGAAGGGTTGAGGACGACACAAGCTAGCCAGGAACAAGAAAGAGATGTTGTAATAGTAGCAGTAGCAGTGGCAGTGGCAATGGCTAACCTCAACAGGAGGCAGCCAGAGGAAGAAACCTCAGCAACGAAAGCAACAGAACAATTTCCTATATCGGCAATGCTAGCAGTAGACCCCGATAGCATCCAGCAGTAGATGACATGCTTTTACAAGCACAGTCTGCCATCCTTCAATGGAGTGGTTGACGTCCAAGCAGTAGAGAATTGGATTAACTGCTTGGAAAAGATTTTCAAAGTTTTGGATTGTCCGACTAAGTAGAAAGCCCAAATAGCTATTTACCAGCT